GACTTCATTTAACCTCAAAGCATATACTTTTATTTTTCTGCTTTAACAACATATATTAGCAGGCTAATGTGTTCTGTGTTCTCTGTGTTCTGTTCCTTTTTTTCCTCTAATTTGAGCTGAATAATGAGGTCTGCATTTTTTCCATTATGTTGCACAGTAAGCCTGATTCCCAATGCCTCTGCTGTACTGCATTTTGGTTTGTAAATATAGCCCCAAAAAAATGATCTTCACAGTTACACGCTGTATGATTGTTCCAATATGGGTCCAATGCATGGACTTTACCTTTAAACGTGACTCATAAATTCTGGGCACAGCTACCTGCAAGCCCCTGGGTTCACAGCCATTGTAGAGAGCAGCAGAGAGGTGAGGTTATTGCCAGTCCGTTCATCAGCCTGAACACAGCCTCCCTCTTATGCACTTCCAGCTCATAATTGCATTATTGTAATGACTCAATGGGTCACTGTTTTACATATCAATTGAAATATGTGCACAGCTTGAGAATGGCTTAGCGGGACCATTCAAACTGTTCATCCTTCTCTCTCTGCAGACATGCAAAAAGGAAAATAAACCTGACCCATACCTGGAGATGGACCCGATGTAGATACTGATCTCTTCTCTCTACCACTGATATAGGCATAAGGTCATTCAAACATTATGCATTAAGGTCAAAGGTGTTTTTGTCATTGAAATGAGTTCCATTTGACCTCATGCTCAGTTCTGACTTTTGTTTTATTTCAAGAAGTCCATCAGGGTCTTCTAGAGGTCAACGTTTCTTGCAGAGCAACCATCTCTGCTCTGTGTTCTGCTGTCTAATGGAGAAATGAACAACCTTCCTGTATCTATAACTGGAAATTCACTCCTAAATCAAAACTCTTAGCTGCGACAGTTTTGCTTTTATTGTTGTTATAGTACAGTCATATGAAGAAGTAGGTACATCCCATCAGATGTTTCTCTTTTTTTGACATGTGGACATATCATTATTTGATCTTCAGTTAAATGGTATGTAGTCCAAGTAGCTACTTTCTTTGCATCATTTGTTATCCAGGCTTTCTTTTTTCTTCAAATGTTAGAACCCTCACAGGACCACCACAGAGCAGGTAATATTTGGGTGGTGGAACATTTTCAGCACTGCAGTGACACTGACATGGTGGTAGCCTGTTAGTGTGTGTTGCTGATTGTGGGTGAGTAGATCTGACACAGCGGTGCTGCTGGAGTTTTAAAATACCTCAGTGTTATTGCTGGACTGAGAGCGAATCTCCAACCAAAAATATTTAGACAACAGTGTCTTGTGGGGAGAGTCCTATAACCATTGATGAAGGGCTGGAGGATGACAAACACATTGTGCAGCAACAGATTAGCTACTTAATTTTTTTTGTTGCTTTGGCAGTATGTTTGGGATCATTGTCTTTCTGTGGAATGATGTCCAGTGAGTTTTGAGGCATTTTCCTGAACTTGCATTTTATATACCTCAGAATTAATTTTGCTACTGCTATCAGCAGTTACATCAGTGAAGATGAGTGAGCCAGTACTGGTGGTATGCTTTGGATCTTGGGCTGTTCTTTTTTGCCTACATAGTTAAAACGTATAAAAATACACTTTATTAAAAAATATGCACTTTAACCTTGCGAATTGTTTGAGTACACATTTAAAACTATGAAGTACAGTGGCAAATAAGAAATGCCTCTTTTTCAATTTTTATTTTTGATATAATTATGAAAAGCCAGCAGCCCTTTACATTCTATGAATTGTTCAACAGAAATGGTCAAAAATGATTTGGAATGAGATCTTGTTACATTAATTTATGTTAAAGTTAAGACAGTTATGTTTTTCCTTCTTTTATAAATTCATGTTTTTAAGAGATACAAGGTTTTGTTAAAACAGTGATAATAAATAATGGTTTTCTCTTCAAGGAGAAGACTGACACACTAGAGCTATTATATTCTCTCTCTCTCTCTCTCGCTTGCTCGATCGCTCACTCTCTCTCACTCTCATTAGTTGGAGGGTGAGGCAGATGTTAGGGCCTCACCTCCCTCCACTGCCATGCAGCACTGGTGCGATTTCCCATAATCCTCTGGTACATGGTGGCACTAATTCACTCAGCCCCCTCTGCATGTCCCAGAGCAAGTGCCTCTGATTTATCTCCACCACTAATCAGCCGCTATTCTTCAAACTAATTAATTCTTTTAATTCTGATCGTCTAATGCGGCGCCCCACGCAGTGAGACACGGCTGAGACGAGGCAAGGCGAGACAGGAGGGGAAGCCGACGGCCGCACAATGGATTTTAATTGTGAAGATGGACCATAATCAACAATTTATTCAAAAAAAAAAAGAATGTCTCGTTTTCTTTTTCTGTTTTCCTTTTTTTCTGTGTCATCATGACAAATCTGGTGGGATAATGTGTCTAAATGAGTGTGATTGTGAGGCAGGCAGGAGCAGACAGCTGCCTCAGTCTCTGTGAGATATCTCTGTCTTTGTGCAAGCAGTTGTTTCACCAGTCTACCCTTTTCTTTGTTCCCGTCTTCATATTCATTTCGTACACAGAAAACTGAGGAAAGCTGTAGGAAAGAATGACACAGAGTCAACACTTCTGTACTGTAATTTGCACTGTTTTTGGTTTATTCATTCAGCTAAGCTTGCAAACGTGTGTTGTAACCAGCTAGGAGACTTTCTGTTCTCTTTTTTTTCAGTTTTTTTTGTTTTGTTTTGTTTTGTTTTAAAATACATCTTTTCAACCACTCTTCCTTGCAGAACACTACTAGTTCTACGGCATTCTTGGGCCGTCTTGTATGGACTGCATGTTTAACATCTACCCACAGATTTTCAATGATGTTCAAGTTTTGAAGTACATTTTGGATCATTGTCCTGTTGTACCAGCCGGGCTCTTTTCAGTTGCTTGACTGACCATGTCATGTTTGCTTCCAGAATTTGCTGATTTTTAGTGGAATCCAGTCTTCCATGTACCCATGCAGTGTTTCCTGTTTCTGGATGCCACACATCACCAAAGTATAATCAATCTTTCCCCATGTTTTACAGTTGGCAAAGTGTTCTTTTCATCAAATGCTGCTCTTTTTTTCTTCAAACATACCTTTGGTGGTTGTGGCCAAGAATTCCATTTTTACTGCATCAGTCTACAGCACTCATGTCCACAATGTATTTGGCTTATTTAGATGTTGTTGCATACGTCAGAGGCATCAATTAGCTTCATTTTCAGATCCCCAGCCAGCTGCTTAGAGGAGCCCATGCAGTCCCATGTGATTTTTACATTCTGGAATTGTCATCAGCAGATATATTCTAATAGCAGATCTTGACTTGCCCAACAAATCCTAACGAGTCAATTAACACTAACAAGTTAATTTCGCTGCCGAAGTTGTTTTTCTTTTTTTTTACTTCAAAAATCAACAAAGTACGTAATTTGGCCAGGGGTGTCTGCATACAACTGTGTATATAGCATATAAAGGGGTCATACAGTGCAAAAAAATCACTCTTGTGCTTTGTCTCTGCCACGCTGTAATTATGAAATTAAAGAGGGAATTTGAGAAAGTTTAGGCTCTGAGCAAGGGGATCTGGAAACAGATGTGCCAGCCTCAGCCAGCTGTGTGCACTTAAACATCTGTCTGGCATGTTCTGAAACCTTGTTTTTTTTATTATTATTATTATTATTATTATTATTATTTATTTATTTAATTGCATTTTTGTTTTCCTTGCGTTCTCTCCCCTCTTTGAGACTGTGTCCACAAAGGCCTCTAATGTGGTGCTGTGCAGAGCAGCATCTGTGAAACTGGCTGGTGCTGATCTCTGACTAGATGTTGTCATGAGTGTGGACACACACATACCATACTTTTTATTTATTTATGTATGTATTTATTTATTTTGGTGTGGCTTGGCTCTTGACTCAGCAGAAGCAATCAAGCACAAATGACACTGGTCCTTAATGGGGGGGTGCTGTATTTTTGGTTTTGGGTTATAGACTGGAAAAAGTTGGCCACTATTCAGCTGGTGTCATATCACAGCTTCAGATCTATGCTTCAGTGTAATATGGCATTAATCTACTATAGTAAAATTTTTAATAATAGGAAAATGTTTTAACTCATTTTATTTTATATTTATTATTTTATTTCTCCTATTTTATCAATTAAATTTTGAATTTGTTGTACAACTCTTGGTTTAAAGTGGACATCAGAGCTTGTTCGTGTTGAGGTCTCCACCACTATGAATATGAAAAGTAAGAACCTGCAGAGACTGACCACTTTTCATCTCCCTTTGTAGTCGGAAAATGGAAAAGCTGTCAACTCTTGTATTTGTCAGTCTTTGTCTTGCTGGGCTAAAGTGAGCTTGTGTAACGTGGGCCGGGTTGTGTCGGGTGGAAACTGCAATACAGGCAAAGTGAACGCTAATTACACATAAGAATAGCAAAGTGGCATCAGAAACTCCACATACTGTGCACATCCACACACAGTGAACTCAGGATTGCTTATTCGGTTCAGTGTTTTTTTTTTTCCTTTTTTTATTTTAGCTTTTTTCCCTTTTTTTTAGCACTATACCTCTTTAACATTATGTATAAAGACATAGTGACCCTTGATTCCTGTCACCATCACTGAAAGGGAATTTCAAGTCAGTTAACCGTTTCACATCAAACCACTCTGAATGACTTTATGTCTCAATGGCTGAATTATGCAGAAATAAAAAAAACAGTGGAATTCTTGTTTAAGTTACATTAGTGTTAACTACATGTTGAGCTCTTCTGACAGTTTTCATTTTGGTTAGGCCCTAAAAGACACATGGATCATTTTAGCAGCTCATGTATGAACTGTTTTGTATCAGATAGTCCAGATGTGGTTCCCTTAATAAAACCCACATAAATGGTGTAATTCACACTGTTCACAGTATTCGCACAAACACACACACAAAAGCACACAGCAGATCAGGGTGTGTGCACTTGTGTAGTTTGTGTGCATGTAAGAATAGATCTTACTCTCTTTCTTGTCTTTCCCTCCGGCAGGAAATGGCTAAGATCCTCAACCATCCACGAGTCTATGCCTTCCTGCACGTTCCCGTTCAGTCAGCGTCTGACAGCGTCCTGATGGATATGAAGAGAGAATACTGCTGCGACGACTTCAAGCGTGTGGTGGACTTCTTAAAGAACAAGTAAGAGCCTGCCAGGAAACAGAAAGAAAACAAACACAGAAATTTCCCTATTAGTTGTAATGTCTTTGCTTTCTGGTGCTTTACTGTAAACAGTTAGTTTCTGTTGACATTGATTATGGACAAAAAAATAGACGCATTGACACATTGGACCAAATTCATATTTTTATTTTGATTTACTTTACACAAAATATTTGACAAATTTTACAATTTTAGATTTAATCAAACCAAATTCATGATATCAAGAATTTAATATGTACTGGTTGAAATTTAATTTTCACTTGTGTGAATTGAATTCCAGAGATCAATAAAAATAGGAGATAAAGACTAAAACAGCAGCAATTATAATTAGAGCATGTCAATTACATTTTGTCAATTAAATTGTAATAATAAATGCAGAATGTTGAATTTTGTAAAAATTTGTATTGTAATAATAATTCATTGGATATTATTATTATTATTATTATTATTATTATTATTATTATTATTATTATTGAAATGAGAAATTAATCTCAAATGCTAAAATATAATTAGGTCTATAATGTATGATCTGATTTGATATTGATTGGCTCTTGCATAGAACAAAGATTAAAATACCACAGAGACACCTGCACTCTAATCACCGCTGTGGTGACTTTATGAATAGCTCTTATTTTTCATGCCGCACATTTTGTGTGACGTGGCGCTGTTAACACAGTTAAGAGTTTTATGAATCTGACCCTTGTTTACTTAAAAACAAAAGTGCTCTACAGTGATCTGTAGGTTAATGTAGCACCTGAAGTGATCTGACAGATCACAGTACGCTAGTGGAAGTGATTTCTGATTTTTCGTTGCTCCATGAAAGAAGAAACTGCTTGTTGCACAGATGGAACTGGAGTGGTGGTGGTGATGTGACAAGGACAAAGTGAGATGAAACAGCAGAAAACAATGGTTTGATTAGCTCATTAATTGAGTAATAGTTAATAGACAGCGTTATTTAATAATTGATTAAAGGAACAGTTGTTATTTGCTGCCCTATTTCACTTTGTCGTATGGTTCTTATGTTAAGACGCAGACTGCCATGTATTCACCCATAATGTGAGCTAGAGAGAGGCTTTCATTAGCAGTATATTGGGAAAGGGCTTGAACTCAAATGTGCAGTAACACATTTATTTTAATAACATACTGAGTAACGCTTTACTTCTTGGACAATAGGAACAATACAATCGATGGCATGGATTAAATCTTGACCTTTTGCAAATGCCAGTTTTGATGATTCTAATAAGGTGGTCTTATGTTTTATGCGTGTGTGCGGCAGCTGCACTTAAGTGCTTTTGTTTGAGAGTGGATCAGGCGCAGCAGTGTTCAGGGTTGGTTTGACACATGCAAATAAGTACATAGAGCACAACTTTTATCAAGCAGACTGATTTCATAAGCTTTATTGGAATGCTCATATGGCCAAGAATTCATATGAAGAGGGAGAGAGAGAGAGAGAGAGGTACTGTACATGACGGCTGTATGTCTCCTACTGTATTTTACTTGTAGTGAGTTAAAGTGGTAGTTTGGCCAAAAATCTAGTTTTACAGCTTCTCCTCTTACACAAATATAGTCAATCAACCAAGTTACGTTTGGAGTCTGAGATTTGCTTTGTCAGTTTTACCCTAACCGTGATACAAATAAATAAATTAAAATATATATATATATATATGAGAGAGAGAGAGAGAATGTCAGAAGATACCTAAGCAAGCTTAGTGCTTAAGATTGCTTAACAGCTCAGCACTGTTTGAGGCAATTGTGTGGTGATTTAGCCACACAGTTGTTGCCATAGTAACAGATAACCATAAGGTTCAGTTACTTGTTAGCTGCATTAGCCTCATAGCACCAGTACAAAACTAATTAAGTCTATTTTAGGCACTAAACATTTCTTCTCTGACTGACTATATTTGGAGTAAGAGAAGAAATGTGTAAATTGGATTTTTGGCCGAACTATTCCTTTAAGAGGCTGTGTTTCTTTGGACTGGAAAGTGGTGCTTTCTCCAGTATTTCTAATAACATTACTAGACTGGAAAGCTTTGAGCTTCTGCTTCCTTGTCTCTGGTGAGTACTCAAGGAAAGTGTTGCGCTACACCAGGGCATCCCCCATCTCTGTGGTGTTGGACCATTGCCTCAGTTTGATGCCGTGTTGCCATGGTGACCACTGAGGGAACGGTTATATTTCCTTGTAAAACTGTACAAGTCTTTTTTCTCTAATTACATTTTTATTAATTTATTCAATTGATTTTGTTTACCTTTCACCCATTCATTTATGTTTTCTTTGTCTTTTTTTTATTTTTTCACTCATAAGCACAAATGAACGAAATTAATCTGTGAATGAGCTTTTAAATTACACAGAACCCTTTTTTACACTTGTAATACATTTTGTTTTCCAAGAAATTAAATAATGTTGCATTAGAAAATTAATAACCTACTTCAGTAGGTACAGAAGAGTTTTTTTCCCATCTTGTTTAGTTTTAAGCATATAATTAAACACAGATGGAGAGAGGTTTTTTTGTGTTAAATAAATGAGAGAGACCTTCATTTATTTAATTTCCATTTGGAGTTCAAAATATTATGATAATGATAGAGAAAATGGGACTCATAACAGCTTTGTAAGACCTGGTAGACCACCAACACTGTCACCTTCAGATAAACAGCACTTAAAGCTTTCATCTTTGAGAGAGAGGAGACAATCAAGCTCCACTCTTACTTTAGATCTGAAAAATCCACAGGTGTTTCTGTCCATCCTTCCACTGTGAGACGACAACTTAACACTGTGGGTCTGAAAGGATGTGTGGCTGTCAAGAAGCTGTTACTGAGAAATAGAAATAGAAAAAGTAGAACAGTTTCAAATCAAACAAAGAAGCTGCTCTTGTTCTCAGAACAATGGACTGACCACCCCAGAGTTCAGACCTCAACATAATTGAAGTTAATTTAGATATTTGGATTGTGAAGCAGAAATTGCAACCAACTTCTAAGACTGAACATTGGCGGTGTTGAAAAATATCCCTGCATATTTCTTTGAGAAACTGAAAGTAAGTCTCCCAACAAGAATGAAAGCTGTAATAAAGGGAAAGTGTGGATTCACTACATACTGGAAAATGATTTTTTTATTGATTCAGTGTAATTTTCTGTAAAATATATTGTGAACTTGCTCAGGGAGGAACTGAGTCACACTGGCCGGGAAGCTAAACCTGAGCCCATAAACACAGACAGAAACCAGTACAGGTGCAACACAGAGCTTTTATTCACAACTCAAACATAAGCAAATGGAATCTAAATAAACTGACCTATAAAGCGTATAATGGCTCAAGTCTCTCAGACTCTCCAACCAAGATCCTCTCCTTCCAAAGTCCTCTATGCAGTGACTTGGAGAGCCTGGCTTTTAAAGTGTCCTGGCCCCTCCCCTGATTGTCCTCCCTGATCAGGGGAGGAACCCTGCACACGTGTTCTTAGGGCTCTGACAACAACTCTGCCTCTCCACCACTATAATATGGGCGTGCTTCAGTGCACACTCGGCACATGATCTGGCGTTTGCTACACTTGCCGCCAGACAGTTCTGGCTCAGCTGGCGAAGTTTGCATCATTTTCTAAAAAGCGGCACGTGGAAAATTATGGTTTAAACTGAAGTGTATTTTCTGAATCCACAAGTAACAACGTTGCCGTCTCTACTGAGGATGTAACATTTATATTTATGTTCTAAATGCTATGCAATTATTTACCTGAGAGCCAGTAAAAGTGCCATCAACACTTCATTTACTACATATTATGTCATTTTCACTATGTAAAAAGCAATGACTCTGCATAGGTAAATGGAGGACACCCTGTTTTTTGTTATTGTTTTTTTTCTCCTCTGATGCAAAAATGAAGAACTTGGCCGTTTTAACTGGAAATTAATTAAATGAAGGGTAGCCTCACTGACTTTTGCACAGTATTGTATCTGCTTACTTAGTTACTTATGCCTTCTTATATATAAAGTTTACGTACACAAAGCAGCTATGTTTAGGTCATTGTAGTACTGTATATGCTGGCTGTTAGTGTCTGACAATGTAGAGACACTCTTCCTGTCTGTTTGAAAGTCCAGCAGGCCAGCCCTGTTTGTGGGACGACAAAGTATGTGTACTTACACAGTCACGCTCATCCACATCTCACACACTCTGCCATCAAAAACCCACTTCTGGAGACTGTAATTACCAGCCCTGAATACTTCTTTTGAGATCCCTGTGTGTTTGTGTCTGCGCGTGTGTGTGTGTGTGTGTGTGTGTGTGTTTTGTTTTTTTTTTTTTTTTCCTATTGTGGTCAGAGCAAATGGAAAATAACCTAGCTATTAAACACACTTAACACACAAACAGAGCTGGAACTGGAAGTTTCACAACAACAAGTACAGCGCCTGCAGGACAGTGTGTTTGTGTGTTTATTTTGACACTGTGGGACATTTGGCTGCTCCTCAGGAAGAGGAAGATGCTTTCCCAAAAACCTCAGTTGTTTATTAGAAACAGTAAAAGAGGATAAAACTGATGTTTTGGTTGTTGAGGTTAAGGTTAGAGTTGAGTTCAGTGAAGAACAGCAGCATTTACATACACTCGTACAGAAGAACATATAACACCCACACAGACTGAAATACACACTGCTTTTGTGTGCTCATGTTCCCTTCTGCTCTAGCATGTTTTGCTAAGGATGTGGGTAATAAACAGGCCGTATCTGGCAGGGGAATCCAGCAGTGGAAAGCAGTGACCCTGACTCTCTTGTCCAGATCAGGCTTTGCTGACATTGGTCTAGATCAGGCAGTAGGAGTATGCCATGTCCAAACGCAGGGTCAGTCTGGCCCGTGAACAGCATGTCCTCAGTTGTTTTGCTCTGTTATGCTTTGTTGTGTGGCAGTGAAACCAGTCTTGGCTGCTAAAAAACAGAAGTAGGCCTAAAGCCAGGTCCTTCTCCTCTGAACCAACATGAACTTTATTATTTTCATCTCTCTCTCTCTCTCTCTC